GCGACTCTGTCTGACTTTCCCACTTTGCGTCTCGTCTATATCTTGTACTATGAACTAACTGTCCGCATGCTGCCGAGGACTGAAAGCAGAAGAAGAACAAGGTCATCGGCCAGTATGTACATTGTGTGCGAGGTTTTCGAATCATCATTCTCATCTCCAATCTGGTGCAGGATCGCAGCCGTCTGACTGACTGACCCACTCGTCGTCGTTCCAACAGTTTGCAGCATCCATCCAAGCAATCGATCCACCGAACGAAATGCGATTGTAAATGTGAGCGAAACAAAAGCCTTCAAATCAACGGTCTTGAACCGCAACCAAAAGGTCCATATTGTTGGGACTGTGACTCACAGTTTTGAACCCCAACTTGCGCGCAGTCTGTACTGTAATAATAGGAGCTTTATCGTGTAGGACGGCTATGTGATTCCCGGACGGGTAGGAATACAATGCTGAGGAGGAGGTCTCCAGAGACGCCTTTGGTTTCACACCAATGCATATTATGGCGGCATCGTTTCATTTAGAAGAAGATATTCTGGATTGCCTATTGGACTGGTATCCTCGTCAAATACTCCAACGAGACCGACATGGATTGCGTCCCATGGATTACTTACTTTGGAATACTGCGAGTGCAACGACGGTTTCTCTCATCAAGATGATATTGCGCAAAACCATTGTTTCCACCATTGCCAGCTGGAGGGGAGGCGATAAACGGCAAGAAGAATTGAATGCTCGATTGGATTCCATACTGAAAGTGGACGATCCTGTTGGCGATCGAATCCAGCATGTTCATGATTTCCTAGAATATGCTGGGTACTATGTGAGGTTGCAACCGACATTTGTTTTGGAATTGACAATGTGGAAGTGGAGAATGACGTGAGGAATGGGAGATGAAGGCGACTATGACAATAACTACCAACAAAACTGCAGATTCCAGTCGGGGACCGATGTCGTCGTTGCGAATGTTACAGACTTTTTGTGGCATGGCCAAACGAGGGTTTCCTCGGCTCAGCAGTTACATCCGCTGTCGGCCATGGTGGTCGGT